GGAGGCAACTACTGCCTTGGTTGCTCCGGAGGCAACTACTGCCTTGGCTGCTCCAGAGGCAACTGCCTTGGAGGAAACTGCCTTGGCTGCTCCGGAGGCAACGGCAACTGCCGTGGAAGCTGCCTTGGCCCCTCCGGAGGCAACTTTCACTGTTCTGGAGGCAACTGCGTTCGCTGCTCCGGAGGCAGCTGTGTTTGTTGATCCACGATAGTCCGCAATGACTTCCGCAATGGTGCTCATCCCCGGCATCACCCTCGAACTCATCACAAAGTTAAACTGGCGAAGCCACGTATCACGCCTCTCTGCAGCTTCCTTGGCCAGCGATAAACACTCATCAGCCGAGGCCACAGCATGTTCAAAGGCCTGCTGCACTTTGCTCACCAAGGGCATGGTTTTGGACAGCAGCATGTCATATTTCTCCTGAAGATGCGTGTATGGAAAATGACAACTGCAGCCCCGTACGTACTATATACTTTCTTGGGATTTTTGTCATTCACTGGAAGCCGCCTACCAGCCACCAGGAAGAAATGAAATCGAGAAGAAGCGACTTGTGTCATCAAACCCAGGTAGCAAAGGATTGCCAAAAAAAGAAAAGTTGAAAGCTTAGGGCCCCAGGCCACAAGCAAATGGATGAGGATAGCAATCAAGCCCCCATGTGAAGGAGACGATGCTAAAAAAGGTAGATCCTGAAGTGATGCTGAACTTGCTGGTATTGACTCAATGCGGTTTCACATCTGTGTGCATGATGATTTGGGATCATTCGGGTTGAGGCCAGGTACTGCCATTTGGCGGCCGAGGAATGATCGAGATAGCCAAGCTCCAAGTCAGGGAGCCACTCGATTAGACATGCAGGTAGCTCAAACTTCCATGCGTGGCTTGCTAGAATCCTAAATCCCATCAGAATGCCTAATGCTAGGTAGTGGTGGGGTTGATGGGTCTGACCCCCTACCCATTCACCAACCAACATGCTAAGGAAGCTTGGGCGACTGTGTTTCCTTCCATTCCCTGACAGGTCCTCGAATTTGCAAGCTCTTTGTTCAATTCGCTCGGCCATTGCATTCATTTGGGTAATGTCGCGGTCGCTGATAAGTTTCTTCAAATATTCAATGTCTTTTTGAATGCCAGTGTCCAAGTTTTGCAAGGACAGCACACGGCGCTCCGAGATGTCATTATTGAGAAAGTGCCTCAGGTTCGCAGCCTCAGGGGAACCGTTGATGCTGAGCATTTCATGCGTCAACTGCCTGAAGGCCGCGATTTGCTTTGCGCGAGTTGAATGGCTGCTAGCATATTCCTTAGTTGGGAGTGCCTAAAACAACAACAAAACTCAATGTCGTATATTAAATAGACAAAGAGACAATTTTAAAACACACACACATATATATATATATATATACATAGCGGCAAGGCACATGTGACATACTAGTTATTAGGGTATCCCGGTAACCCATATATAGTCCATCCATCTATTGAGGGTAGTCCGTCCATTTTGGGACTACGATGGACGCCAAGACTCCGCATGAAGCACAGTTCGAATCCTCGTCTGCACACATGCCGGCAGGCAAGCCAACACTTCCTCCACGGCAGACATTTGGGGGCTCTCGATCGCATCCATGGTGAAACTGCTTACCATTTCCCTGCCCTCGGAAGATTCAGCCATTGCCAGGCTCCGGCCAGCAGGCACCCCTTCGGCGCTACAGTGCCAAGGCCAAAGCCAAAGGCTCTCATGCAAGCTAACTCAGCAAATGATCGGAGGCTGTTTTTCTATATTTTTCTATATAGTAAGTTCGGCGCCGTTAAGTTTGAGACTGAGCATCATGGTTGATCCCCGACAAGGCTTAACCTAGAGTGAGTGTATCTCCCTGCTCTCGCAGGTCGCAACAGCGACCGCTTGATCTCGTGGTTCCTGATCTCTGAACCATCTTTCTTGTCAATACCTTTCTTCCTCCTTCGACTCGACCCTCAACCCTCCAGCACAGCTGAGCCCTCTTGGATACCACACGCGTGCCGCAGAGGCTCAAGGCACGCAGGGCGGTCAATCATGGCTCCCCGCGGCTCTCCAGGACAACTCTGCTGCGTCTGCTGTCAATATCCTATATTCCTACATCCCATCTAGTCCACCTCCTTCGGAATGGCATGCCTTCGGGGCCCCTTCACGTCCTCAGAATTTTCCGTGTCGTTCCGAAGATCCATCTTCCAAGCAGAAAGGATCGTGACCTCCGGTATACGTGTCCCCAGGGTCGTCTTCATGGCATGTCAATGATCGTCCATGCCGTGCTGAGCTGTCCTTCTGCAGCCTTGTCTTGCAGCGCAAGTAGTCTGACAAGGGAGTTGTGGTGTGTTTCAACTTCCTGCATCATCTTCTCCTCTAGTTGGCATAGCAGCAACCTTCACATGACACTTGACACTAGAAATTAACTTTCAAAAGGCTTGGTAACAACATGTCTCACATGAATTGCACTCATCTGCATTCCATACATTGCCATACATCGAGCAAAAATCCGCCCCGGCACAGCCGCCCGGCCCACCGGGGAACATGCCGAATCGGCGTGTTTGGAGCCCAGCCCAGCCCCTCTCTTTTTCACTCTACGGGCTCGGAGCTCAGAAAGTCCTGCTTCAAGGCCTCCGCCGCTGAGAGGCGCTTCTCCGGCTGCGCAGCCAGTAAGCCTTCCAGCCTGCGCTAGCCATCGGTGCAGCTCGTGCAGCTTTCCGGTGGCAAAGGCGTGGAATGGGGTGAGGTCAGGAAGTCCTGGCAAACCGACCTTTTTCCAGGGCCAGTCCTTTATTGGTGACATTCCAAGCTGCCATGTAATGTTGGGACAAAGGATTCATTTTACTCCAACACTTTGTTGGGGGCAGGGGGGCCTCAACCTGTGCGCACATAAAACAACATGCCCCTAACATTGGAGCTTACCTCGGAACGTCCATAGCACACAGAACACCCTTTCTCGTGGCGCTACACAGGCATGGCTGCGTGCTGCAAATAACATCTGCAGCAAACAAACTTCTCAAAAGCCTGAACCTCTGAAGAGCAAACAACAATCTCGTGAATCTTCTGTATACACCATGCCCTCGTAGACTCCTCCCAACTGCGCTCACTCCAAGGTCCCCCGCAGTTTCAGAAAGCTGCCATGTTGTGGTAGGACCCGCTGCTCCAAGGGCTGAGCCAAATTCAAGAGCTCTTGTGCCTCCATTTGGTGGAGGAGGACATGATTAGGCCACAAAGAGGAATTTGAAAGGGTGGGTGCGAATAGTCTCCATCTTGCTTACTACTGACACTACACGGCACCGGGATTCATAAATGCTGTTGTCATTTTCCGTTCCTCTTGGCTTCGGCCTATCAATCTTTTCACCCTGTTCACATCTATTGGGCATCCTCCAAGGCGAAATGGTCGGCACACCACAGCAGCACTGAAGGCCCGCCTCATCTGACAACTTCCGTTGGATCTGCAAGCCGCCTCAGGACTGACACAAGCTCCATCTGTCCGTCCGTGACGCAGTCAGTCTGTGGCCGGTTGCTTCATGCGTGGCCTGTGGGCGGTCCCCCAGGGGGGTCTGAAAGCCATCAGTGCAGGTAAATGGCGATTCCGAGGTCAGCAATATCTCTACATATTGTGAGAAGGCCCAGGGGTGATTCTCGGATGAAAACCTCCATCAATCGTGAGACTTGATCAAACTGCCGGCAGGATCGCTGCACCACAACGGGTGGGCGATGTCCAAACCTTTCCGAATCATAAAGTATAAAGCCAGGCCTTAACAAACAAAGAACGATTGCCAAGCCAAGGCCATTTTGCCAAGGATATGGCAAAGTCGTTTCCTTTTGTCGACATGGAAAACGCCTTTGCTCCCATAAACTGACATGCATGCACCAAGCCCAAGCCCTCCAGCCTCGACTATCCACCACTACATCCTCGGGGAGGCTACCACCTGGTCAATGGTGCCCCGGTCCGTGTGCTGAACTGGACCAGGTGTTGCTTAAAGACATGGGATGTTCAACGCTCAGAAGCAATATGAAGCAATCTGTTTTGACACGCTTGGCTTCACTAATGATTTCAATCTTCACCAGCAGAAAACTGCCACATTCCTTTACCAACCAAGCACTACAACCATAAGGAACAAAATCACCCGTACACACAAGAACATTTGAGGAAGAGTTTCCTGGGGCTCCCCCAACATGATAGAACCTCATTTAACATGACTTTTTCTGAATCCTCTATGGTCCCAGACCTGCAGCGGCCAGCTTCACCATGTCTTTGGGCAAATTGCCTCAAAGTCCAAGAAAGACACATCAGGAGGTTTCAACATGTTTCAACCACTACACTACACCCCTGATTGACTCATTGGAACCGTAGGGATGCACCTTATAGCACGTACCTTATAGGTCGCATTACTAGCAGGGTCTTGTGGGATGGTGAACATGACCCGGTTCCCAAAGGGAGTGGAGCTTGCGACGATTCTTGATTAGGCAAGCTAGACACAGAGCTGCAGGCTTGTGCACATGTGCAGGTTTTATGGCTTTTTCTACGGAGAAATCCCTGTGTCCATGGGCTAGGGATATTGAAGAGCGCTTGGAGCCATGCCTCTGTTGTTGGGTTCTTGCAGGAGTTTTGGCAATGCGAATGCTGCAGATTCTGATGCTGCAAAACCCGTGCGGTTGGTGACAAACATCCAATAACATTGGAAACTCAGGCGTGCTACCAGCCTGGCCCTCCGTTCAGAACTTGAACGTTTCTGACCACTCCTGGTCTCGGGAAACAAATTGCAACTTAGGGGGCAATTCCTTCAAAGAGTGTAACCCAAACACTTCATGGGACTGCCATCTTTGCCCATCAGTTCGGGTGCTTTGGGAAGGTCTTTCTGGGCAGAATGTATGTCTTTTCTGGTGCTTTATTCCAATCCCAGACGGGTTGTGCCTGATGGTGTGTGCGTACTTCTGCATCCTGCCAGCTGCTGCTAAGCCCCCCCCCATCTCATACTGAACCACGCGGTTCAGGTGCCGATGACCCGTTGCATCAGCGCCAGGTGTTGCAGGCTGCTCTGCACGGGGAAGGGTCGTTGCCCAGTGTAGAGCGTCAGTAGGATGCAGCCCAGACTCCAGACCTCAGTCTGAGTCAGATTCGCCGAACCTGAGGTACGACGAAGGAGGTGTAGGGAGAGTTCGGTGAACCGAAGGAGCTCCATCTGTTCTGGGGTGCGGGGGACTGTGAGAGTACAGTTTTCTCCCCTGTTCTTAACCTTCTTTTTGGGCGCTGGAGTTTCCAACATGAGCAGGTGATCTCCACTGATTGGGTAGGTGAATGTGAAAAGAGAGACAAAGAGAGAGAACTTGTGGGGTTTGTTCATGCGAGATCCTGAGATCACACCCGTGAGATCCTGAGATCGTGAGATCGCAGTTGGCTGTTCTTAGAGGATCTCTTCAAAGACCGTAGGCCAAATGTAGCCAACAACTACCATCCCCCGGATCACCGACCCATTGGCACCTCCACTACAAGTACATTCCCTGGAAAATCCTCATGGAAGTGGAAGACCACAAAGGTGGTGAACTCCACCAAAAGCCCGTGATTATACCAGGGTGAGTCCTGAAACAGTGTCTTCTCGCCGTAACAGGCGACAAGATGAGCTTAGCTGGCTAGCCCGACGCTTCAGAGCCGGGCCGCGTCCGTCTTCTCATCCCAAGCAAGGCCCAGAACGACTTCAGGTGAACGATACTGCCTGGTGCCAATGTGCCTGCTATGCCGCTCCTTCTTCAACCTGTGGCGAGTATGGCCGACGACCAATATCTCTGATGCCGATCTGCATGATGTCATGAGTATTGGTGACCGTAGAGCCCCTTCTAACAACTGACAACGCTTCAGAATAAAAGCCAGTTGAATAGTTAACATGAAAACAACAGGTACACCGGATTAAATGTTTAAGTTGTGCCAATGGAAGAACGCACGCACATATTTGTTCCCAGGATATGTCCTGCAATCCATTTCTGTGACCGAAGCTTTTAGAACGTCTTCCGCGTTACGCAGCTGCGTTTCACCCGAGTGCGCGACACAGCTCCGCCGAAGTCAATCACACGGATTTCCTGGGTGTCAAGCTGACAACTTGTACTGTTGGGATTGCCACTTGTACTGTTGGTGATGTTCAAAACAGTGTGAATGCACTTCTGGGCATTGCTTTCTACTGGTGCAACCAGTAGATTTGCATAAATGAAATCACTGTAGGGACCATTCTGTTGGCCTCTACTTGTCCCTCCACCCCTGAGACTGTCTTTGAAAGTCATCCAAGCTGCACATCTGCGCAACCTTTTCAGTTCTTGCCCATCTTTGCGTGGATGGGGCACCTGAGTCCAAGCACTGGAATATATATATATATATTCACATATATATCATATCTATAGATAGAAGCCTATAGAAGCACCTGGCGCTTGAATTCTTGGGCCGAAAGGATCTACTTGAGAGACATGAGAAGGGACACTCTTCTGGTACCTGCGTGGATGTGCCTACCCTGGGTGCCAAACCGCAAAAATAGATCTCTCTGACTCTGTCTGAGCAAAGGCATTTTCGCTACATGCCGGCGAGAGGCCATATCGCCACGGGAGTCCTTCAACATGGCATTCCGACATTTGATGTCCTCAGAAATCGCTGGGTGGCACTCGCTTCGTCGCATGGAACATGGCACCCCTTCACCCAACGATGAAGCTTTTTCAGTAACAACTGTTGGGAGCCAGCGTGCAGCAGGATGTGGGATCTGAGAATCAAGAACTGATCTACAGATCTACACGACTGTTCTTTGAGCCAGCTAAACTTGAAAAAGCTTCCTCCATTTCTTTAGAGCTGGAGGAAGTTTCCGATCGGGGTTGGGTATGCTTGGGAAAGATGCCGGGCGTCGGTATGTGTGAGGCCCATGGCACTCAGAAAATGGAGGCACTGCAGCATCTGGGATCCAATCGTTCGGATGTCTCCTCAGTGCTGAGCAAAGCAAATGTGGCGTAACATATTTGGGAGGTTTGACTGTTCAAAGGATGAGTGGAAGAATAGGACACATGGCACTCGTGTACAATTTTAGTCAGTTTAAGTTTTATATTTATAGTTTAAACTTAACTCAGAACCAAGTTCAGGAAAGGCTCTCAGTAGTAGTCCGCGATCATCAGTGTCTCCTTAGACCAAAGCCACATGTCCTATCAATGGCCCTGCCCCATGTAGCCAAAGGTCTTGAGGGAGATTTGAGTGGCACCGCTTTACATCTCTTGACCCGCGGTCTGATGTGACATGTCTGGTGGCACCATGTCTTCATGCCAATGGGTCTAGTCCCGGAGTCTTTTTTGCACCGTTCTCCCATTTTGGATTCAAACGGACTGCTTTCAGCACAAGTCACGCATGAAATCAGAGAGGCTGATGTCCAAGAGCTCCTGGGCGAATGGAGGCATTGCTTAAGGCCCATGGCACTGGAGCCCTATCATCACAAGGAGGCCTGTTCGAGGAGTCATGGATCTAGACGTTTGAAGCCACTGGTGGCTTTGGAAGTGCCAACCATGCACCCAAACATATTATGGATATTTCATGATGTTTCTGCTGATCAGTACTAATCAGGTGTCAAGGAGTTTCCACACCAGTCATTCCTTTCTCATTTAGCCTGACAAAAAGAAAGACCCCAGACTCAGACGCCGATCCCAGCACTCAAAGCGTTCCACCTGAAAAGCCGCCAGATGCCACCAAGCGGCAAAGACTAAACAGCAATGCGCCACGGCATGGGTGAACTCCCCCAGGAGCTTCACGCAGAAGCTCTGCCGACCCGGGTCACCTCACCAGGCGTGCGATGGCGCGCATGGCAAGAAACGGCGCGCACGGCGTGCACGGCGAGCATTGTGCACGCCATGGTGTTGGAGAACGGATTGATCTGAGAATGGTGGAAGAGCCAAGTGGCCCCCAATTTTGATGTGGAACATGTCGTCATGGACACACGTGAAAGTACCGGCAATCCAAGTGGCATCTTAAGATCTCTCTCAGCAGCTCCGCTTCTGCATGTGCATGCTCTTTATACCGCGGCACTCCTCGCAAAGAGAGTCGGCCATTCTGGGGGAGCAGCATGAATCAGAAGGATGAAAGGCCATGCTTGCCCAGTCGAACACACGCATCTCCCAGGTGAGCCAAACGTGAACAAGAAAACCATCCCTAGGGATCCAAGTAACCTTCTCAGAAGGTGATTGGAGACACTGTTATGTAGGTTTGGAGGGTCCAAGTACCTTCTGAGAAGGCACTTGGATCCGTAGGGCATTGAAACCCATTGGTTCTGCAAGTGTGTTGGCTCACCAGGCGGGTTGTATGGATGTTGTCGAAGCCGTGTCTCTGCCGGACCCTCCGGTTTGGCGGAACAACTCCACTTGGCGCTTGATGCGGAACCGCCTTCTGCTTCCGTGGCAATCATAGGAACGAAGCATGGGACTGGAAGGATCTGGAAGAGTTGAACTTGGGCCATCAATGGGGTAGGGCTCAAGATTGCTGAAGCTTTCCCAGATCTACTTGTAGCCCCAGTCTCTGCGAGGAGACGCCATCAATGATTCCATACATGGAATGTCTGGGATAGTTGAACCATCCTTCAAAGCCGACTCATCTTTGTGACAAGTCGCCTCCCAAAAAAAAAAGTGAAATGCCATGTCCAACAAAGGATGTTTCACAAGGGGACGGGACTAACGGAAATGCAGCTACACTGGATTTAAATCCTGCTACCCTAGGTCCATCCAGGTTTGTCAAAGTATGGCCACTTTGCGCGTTGAGCTCACTGTTTTTTTTTCAATCCTGTTGCGGTGAAACGCGCCGCATGATTGAGCCTATGTACATGACATGTGATCTTTTTATGAAGCCATTCTGGGATTTGCCCTTTGGGCGACATCCGCTGTAGCATCAAATAATGTTGATTCAAGGCGAGATCAGCCAGAATAACACACAACATGCGATTAACATCATTCATTTGTTCAGCAAATGTTATAATTCAACTTTCTTCAGAAAGCTCCATCTACCCTCAATGGGTTTCTTGTTTGGCTCTCTGAGCTTCACGAATCAAAACTTAACGCCAGCTTTCGCAGGCACTCTGCCTGCAGCTCAAGCAGCTCGGCGGAGGCATTCTTCCCTTTGCGGTAGAAGCTGGTGTTCGGAATGGCATGCCACCCGCCGTCGCGCAGTTCATAGCCCATCTGGCGCATCATGGCCAGGCGGAAGTCCCAAATCATCCGATTGAGCATCTCAGCGCCACCGAAGTCGCTCATCATCAGCTCACGGATTCGTTCCTCATCCTCCGTTCCTCATCCTCCGGAACCGAACACCGAGCATTTTCGGTGAAGACTTGCAGGCTTTCCTTGCTTCGGCTTGATTGTGCCACGATGTAAGCAAAGGAACAGGCTGCTTTCGTTGGAACACCGTCCAAGGTGGCCTTCCCGATCTCGAAGACGCACCACAAACGTTCGTAGACCTCTGAAGCGGACGTATGGATCACGACCATCCCTCTGGCTTCATCGAAGGCTTGTTGGCTCAGCTGATTCATTGTTGACAAAACTCGGCCAAAGGGATCCAGTTCCAGCTGCTCTTGAATAGTGATGACGTCACCCGGCTGGTACATCGAAAACACACAAAACCAGCAAGCAGTGGCCTCCGTGATCGTATAGCGTGCGAAGTGCAACATCAACGCCTCAGAACACTCATCGATCTCCTCTGCCCAGGCATGTGAAATCATCACTTCTGCTGCTAGTGGCTGAGGGTTCAGGAGCAACGCCACACTGTTGCCAGTGCCCAGGGTCCAGGGTTTGACAAACAAATCGCAGATCTTGTACATGTCGACCTTCTCTTCTTGCACCAGCGCCTGGTAGACCTGCGTCGCCTTACACGCACCCAGGAAGCCATGGAACTGCGTCGCGGACATGGCCCACCGCTCGGGCGGCACGGCCGAATTTCCAGGTCCCTCCAGCGGCAGCCACCTGGGCCGTTCCGCTTCTGCAACGCCTTGTGCAACGCCTCGTTTCGGTGAGAAGACACCGAAAGCGGCCTTGTTCTTACGTGGCGAGCCACCGGCCGCCTTGGGCGTCTCGTTGAGGGTGAAGCGTGACTGCTTCGATCGGTCCAGTCGTTTCATGGAACATGTGAAGAACTAAAAGGATACACAAAGCATGTCTATACAAACGTGAATGACAAAGACCTGCGGTAGGTGGTTGGACCAAAAGGCAACGCATATACCGCGCTGACCCAACGTCAGATGGTTTCTCTTTGGCATGAGTTAGCAAGGTACTATCAATTTCAAGCTTGGACAGGCGCGTCCTTTAAAACAATGAGAGGAATTCTCCAATCTGGCAACAGCACGTGGTTAAATATGTTAAATGGAGGCAGGCTGATGAACACAGGGTGAAAAGACCACACACCACCACCCTAAACCAACACAATCAAGAAGTTCCAGCGGCAAAAGAGTTGAGGGGACCGTGAACAATAGGCAGTGGTTCACTTGGCAGGTATGTAATCCGGATCAGGTGATGGAAAGAAAAGTGTAAGAGCAACGGAAAGCGCCGGCCACACTGAAGTTTTCAGCAAGTCTGCTCCTCTGCTTCTGCTGGTGCTTTTGAAAAATGGAGGTCGGAACGAAGCTCAACCCCCCAAAAACACATAAATCCCACTTGGTCTCCGGATCTCCGTGCCCACTGGCCCCACTCCCGCTCACCGAACTTGCACCGACCTCGGCCCGACGACGCCAACGCCGCGGTCGTCGCGGCCTTTGACGACCTTCACCGCCACCGCGTGCTTGGTGGTCTCATCCACGCACGCGAGGACGCGGCCGAAGGAGCCTTCGCCCACCTGACCGGGTGACACGGGTACCACGGTGGACGGTGCAGGAAATGCGTTGCGTGTCCCGTGTGGAGGTCACAAAAGCTGAAGATGGCTGAAGTAGGATGACCCGGAGTCCAAACACCAGTGTTGAAGGGAGAAACAGCATTAAGACGGGTCCGGGTTCTTGGGTCGTATGACGTCTGCCATAAACGCTTTGTTCTTCTTCCTCGTCTGGACGGACTGGTCTTCACTCCTGCGAGTAGGTCAGGTCATCAGGTTCTGCGGAAAAGAAACCACGCCGTGCCTTTGCTCGATGCTTCTACCCTTCTTCTCATGGGCCGTCCAGGTGTCAGGGAAAACCGTGCGTGCGAGAAAACTTCCGCCTTCTTCTTCACCACATATCTGCCAGCAGCCCCCAGTTTCATTCCTTTGGTCCATTGAAAGTGCGGCGTATCTCTGTTCCACTTTCCTCGGTAGGTCGCTGCGCTGCTGGTGAGCGATCACACGAGCGGCCATGTGGTAGACTGGGCCAGGGCCACTAGGTGGCGCCGAGCGGGAAGGTGGGCAAAAGAAAGAAAGGACTGCTTGTCATACAAGAACGAGAAAGTCATAGAAAGTCCAAGTGGAATGCTGAGGTCAAAGTTTCAAGGATCCAAACCTCTCCAGAATCTGAACGTAGTTCTCTAGGATGGTTCTACTGGACTCTCTTTGAGCACTCATTTTGCCTTCCAACCACCGTGCTCCAGCCCCCTAAAAGGCCAATTTGGGGATGTCATGTGCAAGCTGTATGGAGGAAGGGGAGGCGGAGAAATGACTCACATCTCCAAAGTCATGCAGTTCATATGATGCCGCTGCCCAGCTCCAATGGAGTGCATATATGAGTCTTAATGCTCTAGTATGCTCTAAGTAGTTCACTTCGCCGAAAAAACACCCGCAACGGCGGTGGCGGTCGAACTGTTTGGTCGCTCGCTGACGAACAAAGCGAACTGCAGGACCGAAAGCAAGAGCAACAAATTGGTTGGTGGACATTTCATCGCGAATGAAGGTCTGTCACGCTTGTGTTCCCGGCACACATGAGCACACAAAGGTTCACCTTTTCCACCTGGTCTTTTCGGAATGGGGAACCCCAAAACGGCTCAAAAATGCCCCCCCCAAAACGGCCCATTCAGGATGGCGAAAAGGATGGCTTCACTCACTGGATGCGAAAGGTGACGTTCCTCAGAGTCTTTGGACCGAGGAACGTTCTTCGGAGTTCTCGCTTTCATCGCTCCGTTCTTCACCTGTCTGCAGTGAGTGGGTGGGGCTGCCACTCACAGCCTGACAGCCGTGCTCCACTGAGGTTTGTGGTGCTCACACCGTGGTGCTCCACCTGAGGTTTCGAAGGCAAAGGCCTCTAAACTGCCCAGTGCTGCTCCAGATGCTTGGTTTTGGTCGAATGAAAACCATGGGAAGGTGCATGGTCCACGGATTGCTCCAACTCAGACTCGGCGCACTGGTGGATTCTCTCGGACAACCACTCCAAAACTCACGACATCCGAACACAACTTAAATACAACAAGTTGACAACCCCACTAGTCCATAACCCATGACCCCCAGGAAGGAAAAACAACAACACAACAAACCAAACCAAACACCACAAGTTGCAAATAAACCGATGATCCCTAGCCACACGGCCCCCCCCCCAGGCAGGACTGTAACGCCTCGCCTTTCCCTTTGGCATCTCGGCTGCGGCTGCGTTCCCGCTCGAGCCGCTCTTCTGGATCTTCACCTGACGGATTCGATCGCTGCGCGTGGGGCGTGGAGGAACCCGACTCGGGCCCCACAGGGCCCCGAACGGCCCAGGACTCCTCAGGTGGTTCGGTGCTCAGATCCTCGCACCCATCCCTGGCCCATCGAACCGAAACAGAGGTAGTTGCCAGCCCTTGGGCCATCATTTTTCTTTGAGGTCATGTCCTGCACCTGATGGGGGCTATACGTATCGCGGGGGAGGTGGAATTCCTTCCATTCGCGTCTTAGACGCCGTGAAACGAATCCACGGGATATCTGGGGTGGAATTCCGACTCCTTCAGTTTCTCCTGGACAAGAAGTGGGGACACCGGGGACACCACTCCCCCAAGAAAAGGATACACCCCAGAAGATTAACATGGAAGTTGACAACCCCTGGGTTATAAAGGAAAATCGTCTTCTTCTCAGGTTCCATGTTAATCTTCGGGTGTGTAAAGGATGCTAAAGATTGTCCACTGACTGGGTCCTGACTTCCATCTTCTTCTTTTGAAAAAACACAGCTGCGTCCAGTGTCCAGTCCTTGCATGTTCTGTCTCTTTAGCCCCACCTCCATTCACCGCATCACCTGGCTTGGTGGCCTCGATGCCATCCTGACAGGGTCTTTGAGTCGGTACCACACGCTCCCTCGGGCAGGCCCTTTCTCTCTCACCAAGTCCTTTCGCATGCGAAAGAACAAAGGGTTATCAAATACATTGGTCAGGCTCCGAAGCCGTGGTTTTGGTTTCAACTTCTTTGGTGTATATGGTCCAATATGGTCCGCTATCTATACAGCTACCCGCGCGCAAAGAAAGGCAAGCACTCGGCTAGCGCAGCTCAAGTGCGGCTCAAGCAGCTGAATCCCAGGCATAGAAGGTGGTGAACTGCTTCTTTTCGCCCAGCATGGACGAGAACTTCCTCAGTTGGTGGCGCAAGATTCTCAAGCTCAAGCCCGGGGGCGGGGCATGCTGCATGCTCAAGCCTTTGGTCCCCACCTCAACCAATGGAATGTTACTCCCACTTCTCGGTGTTGTGATTCTTGAAACCGTTTGTGCCTATACCAGGAGTCACAAAGGGGTGGTTTTTAGTCGCTAAGTGAGTGGATCATGGGCACCCCTATCCTCTAATAGGCACCCCTTTGTGACTGCTGGTATCATATAACTGTGCGTGCTGTGTCTGAGATGCGGAGTCTGTCATCGTGACCCATACCTCGTCCCTGGCACCGGCATGCATCGGCCGATTTTTGCTGACCCCTTCGGACTCCAAACCACAGCAGTTTCCAACAGGTTCAACCAATGTTTCCACCCAATTTCAACCAGTTTCCAACAGCTCTTCTCAAATTTTCAACCAATGTTTCCACCCTTCTCAGGAACTTGACCATGGCATCCAGTCTTTGGCATCCACAGTCAGTTCAGTCAGTTCGCACCGAGCAGCGCGACGGGTTGGGCTAGGTGATTCTTCAGGGACTCTAAGCGCTGCGTCATGACCTCGGTCGCCGAGGGAGCGCGTCCGCGTCCGACCGGGCACAGAGCAGGAGCCTCCCCTGACGATCAGGATGACACCATTAGCACACCCAAACCATCGATGGGACTGGCGGGTTCTTATATACCGATCACTTGACTTGGGGTGGTTGGAGGGGTCGTTTTGGGCGGCTTATCTTCCAGTCCCATTCGCCTGGTCTGGGACATGCTGTCTTCAGAGTCCTTTACGGCGCGTGGCTCTCCTGGTCTCGCGTGGCTCTGGTGGGTCAAGAAGGGGCCCAAGGACCTATCAACAAACCGGTGGAAAAAGATGTCATGACTTCTCACTGTCCATTTTCATGCCAAGCGCCATCAATTCCTCTGTGGCTTCTATCGATGTTTTATATGGGAATCGCACTCATCCATCGGATTCATCGACCCACCGCAGGTTTGCCTTCGCTCTCGCCCAGTCGCCCGAGCCCAGTCGCCCGCCTGCCCGAAGCCGATGAGACTCTTTCGAGCCATCCGGACCTGCTGAGAGACGTAGGTCGTACGGCGGTTCCGCGTGCGCTTCCGCGTGGTACGGTACGTTCCGCGGGTACGAACGAAGCCATAAGCTTTTTGAAGGGGGAAGAACGTCAGGTAGGTGGATGAATCAAACAAAACCCAGAGATGGATGGAAAGTGATGGAAAAGCTCTTCATAGCAGGGAGGACTCATGAATCAACAGTCAACACTAGAGAGATGAGATGATTGGTTGGCGGGTGAGGGCATGCAGGTGGTTGGCCCTCAGAAGAGAACTTCATTGATCACTTTGGCCGCTTTGCTATGTACAAGCAAGACGCAAGGGTAACCCACCAGCTGTCAACCAAGGATTCCGAGCATATCATTTGTCAATCGGGGATGGAAGCGGACTGTGATGTCCGTCCTTGCGAAGAATTGAGGGGCCGGTGCCATATTTTGGGAAGACCCATGTCCAGAAAATGCACACATTGGTTCGCACAGTAATTAGTCGCCAAGGTATGCTTGGGGAGGTCCCCTCCATCAATCAACCAACAGCAAAAGGCCATCTGATTGCGGCTCGAAGATTGGCTTGATGAGTCGACTCCCAATCTTCTTAGTTGGGAATATCCTATCGTCAGGGCCCAGTGGATGATGATGGGGCCTGGTTGGCCGACATGACGCACCCCTAACGCACCCAACGCATCCCTTCTGCCCCGAACGCTCAGCT